CAGTCGGCGCCGCCGGGATGTTCTGAGACATAACATATCTGATCACGCTTTCCTTCGGAAGGGAAGTAAAGCCGTTGGTCCCCGGTTCATGAGTTGATGGTTCGATAGGTAGGGTCCAGGTGTGGAAGCTGCTTCCCTTGTGTCGGTAGCATTGGTGCTCAGCACGGAAAACAAGATCGACGGAAAACAAAATCAAGGAAAAAAATTGAGACCCAGCTCCACAAGAAAATTATTCCGGATAATACCCTTAACAAAACGCTAATTCACGGCCAGATGGCCTAGGGTGGGAAATCGTAAAAACAACGCTTTCACCTCCAAAATTCAATAGCTTAATTTCACCGCAATTGCAATACTAAAACTTCACTGAGAAGATAATTTTCCAAGCTAACCAGGTTTACAATGAAGACCTAGAATACTGAATAAAGCCACTCTAAGGCCATTATCGTAAATACTCATTTAGTTTATTCTCTGAGCTAGTCAGGCTGTCAAGAACACAATAAGGAACAAGAACTACAAGTGATCAGAAACAAATCATCTTATTCTCTTAACTCTTTACCAGTCTTGAATTTGTTAAAAAGCGCTCCAATGCACCCAAAGGATCTATGTCAGACGCAACTTCTATTAAGAGACGCACATACCCATTTTGAGGTTATATTTTGCAACTAATAACAACGTCTAGTGTCTACGGAATTTTTTTTTATCAACCCTCAGGATCTCAATGTGAATGTGTCAACACCCACCCAATAGGATCTAAATTTATATTAAGCGCAAAATCATTAAAATACCCTTTAGTTTTAGTAATTCTTGCTCAACTTACAAAAATGCCACAGCAAGCATTGAGTAACCACAAATACGCAACCAGGGTGTCTACTCAATCCAAGGAATCAAATTCCCTGAGTTTTCCAGGTTTTTCCAGGTCGGATGAAAAAAAAATCCAGGTGCCTACAAATTATACACATAATTATTTTATCTATTTATCCATCTGGAATCCCTTTTATGTACTTATTGATTTATGTAATTTTCGATTGTTCAAACTTGGGCGTTGGTACTTATAAGTCGGCACAGCAAAAAAGGTATTGAATATTACAACAGAACAGATGCACATAGGCTGTTTAATATTAATTTGTACAATTTATGTTTAGTAAATGCACGTTAGTGCAATGTAAAAGTACCTCCACTATTGGTGCATTTATCCTACACATAATTTGCGAAAAGAAATTATATCCATGGGTGTAATATTGTATTTGGTTTTTGCAATCACATTAGTTATTGCAATCACAGTAGCATGCATTACATCAATCAATATTACATTCTTTTTAGGTATTTGTGTAGTATTTTTTAAATTCAATAATATAAATACAATTAAGAACCCTGTCTATACTATTTCGATAAAACGATATATCAAAATTTTATAACAATATGCTTTCAAAAACAAAATATCATTTTGATAATATGTTTGAGTCCAACTTTGGAAGATCAAGACAGAATAAATCATGGTTTCACATGTCCTCAAGGTCCGTTTAGACTATCTGATTTCTTGGTCTGCTTTTGACCGCCACCATAATGAAAAATCTACTCGAATTTACTTTCGTCACACTTTGTCGAGCCCCCCTGTTTGCTGGTGTTCACACTGCTTGCACATGTCGAAAGAACTGTCAATTTAGATTTCAAAACAAAACTGTATCAGGAATCAAAAGTAAATACTTCCATCATGAATTACCAGAAAATTGCTCTAGTTCCGGCAGACGTATTTGCTTTTATTATTTTAAATAAAATGAGAAGGAGAAGGTGAACTTTGTGGAGTAGGAAATGGTTGCTCAGGAGGAATACCGGCAGGGATCTGGCTCATCTTGTCCTTCAAAAGTTGCGATATGAAGATGAAAATGGATTTCAAAACTTCGCCAGGATGTCGATACCAACTTTAGACAAGCTAGTGGGAAAAGTTCTCACTAGATATACAAGATTCCTTGAGTTCTGAAAATTTCTGTTAACAACTCAATTCTGCAAGGTCTTCAAACCTTCTGACGTCCCTGAAGTTTTGTTTCTGTTCTCCGGTAAAATTGCTTTAAAGATCAACAATCTTTCCTTACAATCTGCTAATTTCTCGGTAGTTCTACAGATTTCTTTGAAGTTCTGTGTGTTCTTCAGAAGTTCTGCAAATTTTCCTAAAAATCTACAAAGTTCCTGAATCCCTGAAGATTTAAGATCCTTGAAGATCAACAATTATCTCTGATGTTCACAAAATTTCTAATAATCTACAAACTTCTTGACAGTTCTGTAATTTTCTCTGCAGATTTTCATGATTCAATGAATATCTGCAAATATATCTGCACATCTATACAATTTTCTAAAGAATTAAAAGAAATTTTTGAGCTTTCCGGAAGTTTTAGGAAGTATTCTGAAGTTTCTCTAATTTTTCTGAAGCTGTGCAAATATCTCTAAGGATCAGCGAACTTACCTGAAGTTCTGTAAATGTCTTTCAAAATCCAAGAACCACAGTAAAATTCTGAAAATTTATTTATACATCTGCTAATTTTTCAGTAGATTTACGATCTATCCTCTGAACTTTTCTGAAGATCCTAAAATTTATTTCAAATTCTGTAAAGTTTTCTGAAGTACTGTATTTCTGCTCTAAAGATCTACGAACTGCCCTGAAGTTCCATAAATTTCACAGTAGATCTTCGAACTTTTCTAAAGTTCTTTAAATTTCTTTGTGGATTCTTGATCTAAAGATCGGCGAACTTTCCCGAAGATCTGTGAGTTTTGCTGAAGTTTTGCATTTTTTTTCTAAAAACGTACGAACTTTCTGACGTTCTACAGACTTCTCTTAAGGTCTACGGACTTCTTTTAAGGTTTACGGACTTCTCTGAAGTTCTTTAGCTAAAAAAAAGTAGTCTAAATTTCCGTTACTATGATGCACATAAATGGAGCGTCATATATCATACAAGTTTAGATTATAGATCGTGTAAATTTATGAGACATGTCATGTAATATCCCATATATTGTATGCAACTGTCCACTTTTGTTTGCAACATTTCTTGCAAACTGCTAGTTTACGTGAAAAGGAAGTTTACATGCATGCATGGATGTTTACATCGCCAGTAAAATTCAGAATTTTTTGGTGTGTATCTATTTCCGACTTCCATGGAGTTCTGCAAAATATTGTACTTTTGTACTTCCCTGCGATTTGTTTTTGGAATTGAGGTGCTTTTCTGACATTTAACGAATTTTTCTGAAGATCTCACATTTGTGTTAAACTGTGAAACTTTCTGTCAAATTCCTGCAAATATCTTTAAAGTTCTGTAAAGTTGTCTTAAGCTCCGTAGCTCTATTCCCAAGATCTACAAATAAAAACTTAAGGCTCAATAAATTTCTCAGTAGATCTGCAAACTTCTCTGATGTTTTGTAAATTCCTCTCGGGTTACCCTGAAGATTTGAAAATTTCGTTGAAGAATACCTCAAGTTGTCAACATTTATCTGAAAATATTTGAGCTTCTTTGAAGTTTTAAATGTCGCTCTCAAGATCTAAAAATTTTCCTGAAATCGTGTAAATATTTTTTTTAACCGCCGAACTTCCCTGAAGTTCTGCAATTTTTACTGAAGAGCCATTAACATTTCTGAGATTCTTGTGATTTTTTTCAGAAATCCTGTAATTTTTTTCAAAGTTCTGTAACTTTGTTCTGAAGATCTACGAACTTTTCTGATGTTGAATAATGTTTCGAGGATCTCCAAACTTCTGTGAAATTTTTTTATATTTCACTGTAGATTCTTGGACTTGTCTGAAGTTATGCAAATTTCCCTGAAGATTTGCTAAATTTCGCTTATAGTTTTACAAATTGATTTGAAATTATTTTTGCTTTCTTGAAGTTTTGAAAATTTCTTTGAACATTTATCTGAAGATCTACGACCTCTCTTGTGATGTTGTTTTTATGAATTTCTGTTAATTACTTTTAATTTGTTTGTAGTTCTGTTCTCAAGATCTACGAGCTACCCTGAAGCTCAACAAATTTCTCAGTAGATCTCCGACCCTCTCTGAAGCTAAAAATAAAATTCTATGTAGGCTCTCAGACCTGCTGTCTGCCATGCTTATTCTTATACAATACATGCTTCGTATGCTTCCTTTTGCCAGTCTCTCTTTTTCGGCTGTTTCCTTTTTACGACGATTTTGATCCTCCACATACAAATCAGCGAAGAGCGAGCGTGACAAGGCCCTCTGAATGAACTTGTCTTGTTCGCACACGTTGTCTTAGATGTCAGATGCTTGTCAAATCCAGTGTCCTTAATAAACGTTTCGAGTAACTGAACGAAAAACTTCTTTTGAATTACGAATGAAGTGATAATTGGAAAATTCCCTGAGTGGAACCAAAATTCCCTGAATATTCCAGGTTTTTCCAGAAAAAATAAAATTCCCTGTAAATTCCCGGTTTTCCAGGTTTTTCCAGGTAGTGGACACCCTGGAACTCTATTTAAAATTGTAATCCATCCTCAAAATACACCGAGTAATTAAGTTGTTTGAGACTAGCAAAGTTTATCATACTTCTGTGATTAAGAAATATTTCCCTGAAGTTAAATTAAATTTCCTGAGTTTCCCTGATTTTATAGGTCCAAAAATGAATTCCCAGATTTTCCAGGTTTTTTTCAGGTAGTCGACATCCTGTTATAGCTTCCAGTAAGTTCCGGATATTTTCAGTGTGTTAACTTCCCTTATGTTCCCGCAGTTTGTTTATGGAGATTAACTGAAATTCTCAGTATTTCATTTCATTTCTTTAAAACTGATTGCCATGTCTTAAAAACGTTTGGGTTTTCGAAAATGAGAAATGAAGAAAAATGAGTAGACACCCTGTAGATAGAGAAAGAAGATTAAACGTCACAAAGCAAAGAATGATCAATCTTGAAATAAATTCACGCTCAAATAGTTGAAAATACTGATTGATTACAAGATAAAGTGACTTCAGTGACTTGGCTGTGCCTGCAAATTTGAGTTATATGATTATACTTACTGAGATTTGAAAGCGTATACGTGTAGACGGAGTTGACTGCAGCATCTGCCTTCAGAATGGGAAGATGCAGTAGCGTCTGGTCTTGATGTACATAGTACACCCGGTAGCCGTGGATGGCACCGTTCAGCTTTTCCGGCTCTCGCCAGGTGATCTTAATAGTTGTTGAGGTGACTTCCGGAACGCTTAAATTCAACGGTTTGCTGGGAACTGAAATTTGTAAGAAGGATGAGATTTTATGAGAATTTGATTTACAATGGAGGCTGAAATACTTTTACAAAAGCAACAGTTTGGTTGATGATCATATTTAGCACAATGAAAAAAATGACAATTACCGAAGTTATCATCTGCCGAAAATGTAGGATAACCATGAGTGGTAGTGAAAGGTTCATCGTTAATTTCCGGTTCCTCCAAGATCACCTTGAGAACAGTGTTAATATCTGCATGTGGTTGATCCGGAGCATCATTGAGCAAATGTTGACGTTGCTCAAACAACACCTGACTACTCTCGAAACCACTAACCGTTGCGGTAGGTGGTACCGAAGTAGAAGCCTTCACTGTGATTGGTAACGCTTGGAGAGGAAGCACCCGTGGCTCTTCGAGTTCCTCGTAGGGAATCTCCGGTTCCGACACCACGTACGGTGTCGATCCATTGGAGTCGGTAAGATTGACAGTTGCTAATGCGCTAAAACTATGATTAACCAGCACCAGCACCTGTACCAGTGCCAACCACGTGATCGTGGTCAGCAGGCGAGCTTTCATGTTTTGCCTCCCCTGTGCCGGTGTTTGTTTTTCTTGTTGCTGTTTGTATCACTTTCCTATTGCACTTTTCTCCAACACTGCTTCCGTGATTTGTACCAATTTCACTCTTAATTTTAATTATCTCTGCTTTTGCGCCTATCTATGCATTTGCCTCACACCATCAAACACTCCACTCTAGTACTATTTCACGTTAATCATTTCTTCCGGAGAGGCTTTTCTCAGCTCACTTCGTTTGTTTTACGTATTTAGGCTCTTTTATCGCACCCGATGACGATCACCAGCTACATATAGACCAGAGGGGAAAACTCAAAATTAAAATGCAAATCACGCAAATTTATTGCTCCCGATTCGTTAGGCACGACTGCAGCTTCAAAAACTGTGTAGTTATTACTATATTTTCTGCTTATGTGCTTAATGCTGCTTCTCCCTACGCTGTCTTCCGCTTTCGTTCTAGTGGTCGATATTCATAACGACAAAACTTAGTGTCATACAAAAAATGCCGTTATTATGAGTCAGAATCTTTTTGAAAGTACATCCTCTGAAGTGATAGCACGCACAGCATTAAATTACCGGTCGTAAATCATGGAGACAATGCATTCTCAAAAGAGGAAGTAGAAGGAAGCAATTTTCAATCTCACTTTCCCTCAATTGATCTCAATTGTACGCGGAGGCGCTTGCTGGAAGATTAGAACATGACAGGAATTTTGAAGCAACCTTCCGTTCGTCTACTGTAGGTTTAACGTCACTCCTAAGTGTACCTAATATTGGGCCCATACATAAATTTCGAAGGAAGCATTTTTGACAATGTTTCACTAGCAATTCGTATTGTTCAGATGACACGACAAATTTGCCCAACCTTTAGATCCACAGACCAACATTAGAGCCATTTCCCCTATATATAACATGGGAGGTCATTGGAGAATACAAATTCCATCAGCATTAGCTGACTCATATAATCTACCATCGCGGGAAAAAATTAATTCATCAAATGTATTCTTCAGACAGAACAAAGTAGATTTGTCCGTAATTGCCAAATAACCTGCGGTTCAAAAAAAAAAAGGCAAAACAAGCTTCCATCGTCGTTCCCCACTGGAGCAGTTATCGTTCTATACGATTGTCTGTTTTATGTACAAGAACACAGCAGGTCCAGAACTCAAAATCACATTGCTGCTGCTGGTTGGAAACGTTTATTCGCTTACATGGTACTCCATTGAGTCTCTTCGCCGCAATCTAGTTTTCCGTACGGGACGGGCAGCCGGTCATCGTCACGGTCACCCCCACTCGGCATGATAGAACGTGTCAGGTCCAAGATAGATTTCTCCTCAAGCGTGTCGCCTAAATGGACTGAGTGTCGGAGAGCGAAACGGAACTACATAAACGACCATCTCCAACTCCATGCCCCCACTACGAAGTGTGTAGTGGTCAGCCAGAGGCAGGCCAGGCAGACAGGCGGCAGCAGAAGTTGCGCATCACCCGCATGTCAGCTTCAATTGATATCAATTTAGCACACTCTCGCTTTAGCTGGATTTTGTGCCCTCAAATGTATCACCGCAGAGTGTCGTCGTCGTTGTTGTTGTTCTTGTTTTTTTGTTAACATTATAGTTAGATTGTGTGTGCGTGATAATTGGGGGCTAGATTTGTGGTCAACATTGTGCGGTTGACGGTGAACTGTTCTGGTTCGTCCGCCAAGCAACGTGGAAAACTTATTTTTAGATGTTTGCACCTTTTGTGCTATACTTCCCTTTGCAGTTGTCCCATTCGTTAAAACAGCAAGCTGAGAAAAACGCTTTTGAAGATTTCTATTCTGTATGGACTGTTTGCGGATGGGACAATTTAGTTTTAGAATTTCACGACATTTTCTGAACAAAGTAGTAAACGTTTCGTGTAGGGGAAGACGGGGTAAGTCAATGAGCAAGAAATTTCGCATTTTGCTAGGCTACATATGAACAAGCGCTCATTTAGCTATGGATAATTTTTTTTTTTAAAATCTGATTTATCACATTATTTATGATTTTTCATCCAGTTTTGGAACGATAAAAATAGGGGTTTTGATCTGAATTTTACTGAGTGTTTAGTGAAAATTTCGTAAGAGAATTGAAAAACTCCGTCAACTGAAACTTAATCAATAATTTCTTGTGTAAGTGCTCGGTTGTTACAACAAATAGAAACGAACGGATTATTAGACAACCACGAGTGGACAAACCGGTGGGAGATAGAAGAGTGTTATGCTTGTAGATGGAAGCGAAGAAATTTCATCCCGTTAAATTTATGGATTTTGCGTTGCTCCGGATTTTTTCTAACATATGTGGATTGTATCAGACGGCCAAGACGTATTTCAAGACTATACATTCCGTGCAAGCTTTACCACAAACCGGATTACCCTGTGAAGCGAACCGTCTACAATTGCGACTTCCCCTCTAACACATCATGCCAGCTTTGGTGAGTTCGTTCCATTTTGTCCTTTACAATATTTTCATACTTAATTTCCGAGTACTAGTACTAGTGATACTACAAACATTTCCAACTCATTAAATACGCGTCAATCAAGCAATACCGCTTGGTTGAAAGTCCCAGTACATTATTAATGATTCCTACATTGAAATGTATTGGAGCGGGGCTTAGCATATACGAAAAAAGCTTCGGAATACTTGCGTTCTTGAAATGGGCTTTAGGAGTTGTGATAGAGCTGTCACCTTCTAACTCCCGGATTTAAGCTTCTTGAAATTATTTATATAAAAGATGGTTCCAGGAGGATTTTATCCATAATGCCACTGCCAGTCAGTGGACAAATTCATGAAAGAAGGATACATATGTGGTAATATAGTAACAGGTTTCCTAATGACTACTGACTACTGATATTAGGCAGAATATAATGTTTCAACAAACACGTGTCGGTCGAATTAGGATTTATCCCAGGCTACTATTGTAAAAGAACGTAATTGATAGATATTGGGCGGACCGCGTCGGAATGTTTAGAAAAATAGGGCGCACGCTTGATCCGGTTTAAGATACATTGTTGACTGCTTTCGGGAACATGATTTCATTTTAATAACTTGTTTACTTGTTTAACCAGGGCTTAAGCAATCGTCACGTTGGTCATAGCTTGTTATGATAGCCTGAACAATGCGTAAAGAGCAAACCGCGAAACATTGAACGTCGCGTGAAAGTGGAACTTAATGAAGGCCTAAGTGCTTTTTCGTAACTTTTAGTTTTCGGATTAGAAAAATAATCGGTTGCAGGACAGTGTTACCGATTTATATTAGATAATTCAAAGCTATGTTGATCATTATAACATTAAATTTTGAATAACAAATGATAAGACAATCTTATTCAAATGTCGTAATAATACCTCTGACCAAGGAAAAATGATTTAGGGGAAATGTTGGCTTCGGCAATACCTTAACCTATTATCGTCAGGGGGGTAAACAACGTCCTTGGGAGCTCAATTTTGGCATGTCGGTACATTTTATTTCAGAGCATCTATTGGCCAAATCTGAGTACTCTAGGACTTTGTTTACCCCCCTGACGATAATAGGTTAAGGTGTTGCCGAAGCCAACATTTCCCCTATATAGTTTTCATAAAAGTTGACGGTACAAATACTAATGAGGAAAGGAATTCCGCATTTCCTTTTCCCAAGTCCTTTTCCTCTCCTTCCCTTCCCTTCTTCTCTTTTCAGAAAGCGAGTAATGGCGCTATAACCATATGCCATATAGGGCTAGGACAAGAGTTAGTGCTCAGGTCCCAACCGCTAGAAGAAAATGGTAGCGAGCAAGGGCGCTATAACCTAGGCGAATACAGCATTCCATCCGTATAGGTTACGTCCGCACACCGCTCTCTGTTGTCCTTCGACTGAGGTCGGCTGGATCGATTGAGAGATCGCAGTGGGTTGGCGGTGCCGTCCACGCTTGTACGGAGGGAGGACTGTACGCTCGAACACAAGGGGTAAATACCTGTGTTCCATCCCAGGAGATCGGACAACCAAGGAGTGTACATTAACTTTCTTAGCTCTGTCACTCCCAACGATTTATATAGCCTATTTTCAAATCCAGCATACGGAGCGGTTGGTACGGTATGTCCCCGCTCTTTGATTACCTGTGGATTAAATGTTAACCACTGTCTATACTTATTAAGTAGACATGGTAAACATTCACTTCCACAAAAATTAACTAAACGCTACACAGTAGGCCTGGCCGCTTTATTGTTTGTTTCACATCCTTGATGTGCAGCAGGCATTAATAATGACAAGAAAAATGATAGATTTATCATTTTCCAGGATTCTTTCAAGTACTGGCTGTGTATGTGTAGACTAGACTAGACTAGACTAGACTAGACTAGATAAAAAATAGGGGTTTTGATCTAATTTCCGTCCTACTAAGCACAACCCGCGATTTACCTCTCTTTTCTGAACGAGTTTTAACAAAAAATGGAATATTTCTGTCAAAGATGA